CCGGATAGCCTTCTTGCTGGTCGTGGGCTCCGAAGTCAAACTTCTTCCTACTTATTCTCCATTCCTCTGTATAAAGAATAAACTTTTCCTACTACTCTGGCCTCCAGCGACTTCTTCTCTCCTAAGGAGCCATGGTCTGAATATCGTAGTTGCTAGGGTTTAACTTACTTAACCCCCTGCGATAGGTATGCACATGATTCCAGGAAGGGTATCCACGTCCATACTTTAAGTCAAACCAAAATATTAAGCCTTGTCCATACCTTGATAGCAACCCCTTAACGTAACCTCACATCTACCTCAACCTTAATCCTAGTCTTCCTGGAATTTGGCCCAAAGCCGCGTGCATTGTGATTCAGCTAAGTTTGCTTTATTGGAGTACGGAAAACAGTAGCAACATATGAAGCGCTGTCATGCCACAAATGTGTGTCAATGGGGCAGAATCGTGGACCTGCCAAAAACATCTTGCTGAAAAATATTACACAATAAGCAGCTAAATATCAACCGAAATATGCGGGACGATGCGTTGTAGAGCTGGTGAACTGCACTATATGAAAAATTCCACCGAAACACTATGAGTAGTAGTATGGGGAAGTCTTTACTGTCAGAGATGGGTGTCCTGGCCGGGTGTCCTCTTGAAAGTGCATCTTGCCGTGTGTTGCCGACGATGGACCGGTGGCGCCACAATGAAGCCTTCAACTTTGAAATTTTTGATGAAAAAAGAGTCCGGGTTTGAATTCTAAATTTTCCAAACCAGCGTATGGCACGACTGATTAACCCAGTCTACCGTCTGCTCATCAGTGCTTCTCCCTACACCATAACTGGACGGTATGCCTGGACTGCTTCCAGGGACTCTAGCTTGAGCTACAAATTGTAATGAAACGAGCATATATCCCGTAACTAGATCGGCGATCGGTCGTCTCACGATGAAAAATGGACTATACTGGGTCTGTTCGGTCTGTCCGGGTTTTCATTGAGTCATCGGAAATGCAATGCCCAATTAAGTTTACCGTCGAGTAGTAGAAGCAATGGATTGTATTTCAGGCAGACCTAATTCGCCCCACACTTTAACCTACCGAAGAAGGTAGATTTAAGTAGTTTGCTGAATTTGTTGAACTTACTGTGCTCTCCTGACGAGAAGTTTATAGGCCGCTGGATAGTTTTTCATCGCCTCTTCAAAGTCCTTCTTTGTCAGCCGAAAGAGCGTGGAGTAACCCTTGGAGCGCACAGTGGCCGTGCGTCTATTCTTACCGGAAAATGCCAACAAGCTGACGGACAGAAAGAACATTAAAAAGGTTCTCAATGGAACTGGATTCTGAGGAGAGTTTAAATCATGGTCCCGCCCATGGAGGGGACATTTTACTGTTTCGTAGTTCCTGCCAGCTCGGTGGAGGTCCAAGAACTCCAAATTATCTACCAACACTTCAGTTACTCGTATCCATACCCTATAAATGACTGGCTCATGACGAATCTTTGCACGTAAAAATTTAGATATGTAAGAAAAACATCGGACAAGAAGTCACCTGGTTAAAACGCGTACCGGATTTGAGTTAAATATCAATGAAAGCTGACAGTTGCAATCCACGACTTGATTATTTGAGTTTAAAATGTATTACTCATAGCTCTTTCCTTCTCAGGGAAGCCCTAAATTATGGCATGCCTACTGATGCCATCAAAGTCTGCAAGCTTGGTTTACAGTTGGGCGGGTTGTTTGGAAGTTGAGTCGACTTATGCTGGCAGTCCTCAGTTATGGGCTTTATTCAATGCACTTGGTGTCCATCTGGCGTGTATGTCTTCTCTGCCTGACCAACTTTACTCTGATTGGTCAACACAAATCCAAATAGTTCTGCACCATCTTTCACGAACTCTAGCGTCCGCACGCATTTGCGCAATAATCTTGGGTTGTTTTGTCGATAGGACTGTCTTTAGAGGTCATATTTACCGTTGACTTATAACAATAACCTACTTTTACATTTTCAGTAACCCAACTTTCCATTTTTTCGTTAAATTCCGCCAATATAGGGTTGAATTTCCTTCAATTGGCGTCAGTCGCCTGAGCAGCAGGAGGTTATGTTGATGGATTTGATTCAATTTAGCACATTGAAACAAATATAAATTTCTTTAATTGGTAGAGATTCCTTGGGGAGCGTGTGAAGCGCGCCCCTCAGGCTCACGGGCACCTGATTTTAGGG